TTGAGGCGGCAGAAACTGCTTTGGCCTTAATTCAGCAGATTATATCTTTTTAAAAAATATATTTTTACTGATTTCAGAGAGGAAGGGAGAAGGAGAGAGATAGAAACATCCATGATGAGAGAGAATCATGGATCGGCTGCCTCCTACACGCCCCCCACTGGGGATCGAGCCCACAACCCGGGCCTGTGCCCTGACCGGGAATCGAACCCGGGACCCTTCAGTCCGCAGGCCGACGCTCTATCCACTGAGCCACCTCGGCCAGGGCAGCAGATCATATCTGAAAATAAGTACACAGCGTTGAATTCTGTATTGAATGTGGGCCTTTTTTTTTTCTTTTTTGGCCGCAGGTGGTTGAAGACTGGAAGTTCATCGCCCGCGTCCTCGACCGGCTCTTCCTGTGGACGTTCCTCGTGGTCTCGGTGGTCGGCTCCCTCGGGCTCTTCGTTCCTGTGATTTATAAATGGGCCACGATACTGGCTCCGGCCCCAGTCGGAACCCCCAAGACGTGACGCTTCCCTAGGGCGGTAGCAGGAGTTCTAGTTACCAAAAGGCACGTACAGTGAGCGGAACCTCGTTTCTTGAACTTGATGCGTTCGGAGAGGCTGTCTGAAAACCGAATCATTTCCCCCCATTAGAAATCATGTAAGTTGAATTAATCCGTTCCAGACCCCAAAATGATTCCCTGTTTTACATTTTAAAAAAAATATTTTTATTGATTTCAGAGAGGAAGGGGAGGGGAGAGAGATAGAGACATCAATGATGAGAGAGAATCATCGATTGTCCCCCACTGGGGATCGAACCCACAACCCGGGCATGTGCCCTTGACAAGAATCGAACCCAGGGCCCTTCAGTCCACAGGCCCACACCCTATCCACTGAGCCACACCAGCCAGGGCTTAACCTTTCTTATACACAGTACATGTCTCTTGTACTGTTTCATCTAGAAATAAACACCTTAACAGCAAAAAGGACATGAAATGTAAATGGAAGTTTAATGAAAAGGAAAGGAAATATACAGTTAAAAATGAAAATATAGCCCTGACCGGTGTGGCTCAGTGGATAGAGCGTCGGCCTGCGGACCAAAGGGTCCCGAGTTCGATTCCGGTCAAGGGCGTGTACCTTGGTTTCGGGCACATCCCCAGTGGGGGGCATGCAGGAGGCAGCTGATCAATGTTTCTCATGGATGTTTCTAACTCTCTATCCCTCCCCCTTCCCCTCTGTAAAAAATCAATAAAATATATTTTTCAAAAATGAAAATGTAACAATAAGTATAAGCAGCCACAAAAGCAAAACAAAAAACGCGAAAATATTCACAGCACAGTATCCTGAGATTGTAACAGTGGGAAACGGACTCATATTTGCACATCCTGGCCTCTGTCACCTGAGGGATTGTGACTGACCCTACAGGTACCAGCCTGAAAGGGTTGTCAGGGTGAGAAGCGAGTTGTCGAGATGGGAGGCGTTCGGGAAGCGAGGTTCCACTGTATATGCCTCAGGGCACCCATAGAATGATGAACACGCCAGCTGTGTTTAAATGTCCCGCAAGCCCGAACAGATGAACAGTTGCTAGCGTCCGTTTATCGTAACAGACTTGCCCAGTGGAAATATCTATCTGCACAACTAACGCGGTAACTGACTGAATCACACCTGATCTCCTCAAAGTAGCAGCATGGTAGTATCTGGCCTGTCCTGGCAAAAATGCGACGTTTGTATCCTGGCTGATAACCGTTTTGAAATTCGTGATAGTCTGTAACCCACAGCGAGGTCCCTATTGTGATGCGCCGGAAAATTCCTGTCGTGTTCGAAGACGGACTTCAGAACTGGATCTGCGTTTGGTGAGGGCACACGCTTTTAATTCTTGCTGTGCCGTGTCTACTGCGCCAGCAGCTCGTCGTCAGCGCCGTATCACACGACTAAACCCAATGAGCTGGTTCCTCGGTACGATGACGATGGAATACGTTGCAGAGTTTCTATAACCAGCATTTTTTAAAAAAATGAAAAATGGGTGTTGGGACCTCCTTTAAGGCCTTCTTTATTCTTTAGATGCTTAAACTGAACAATTGTTATGTTACTAGAGGCTCCGTGCATGAAATTCGTGCACTCGGGGGGGGGGGTCCCTCAACCTGGATTGTGAGAGGGTGCGGGCCAGGCCGAGGGACCCCACCGGTGCACGATCGGGGCCGGGGAGGGACCGAGGGAGGGCTCCAGGGCATGTCTGGTCCGTCTCGCTCCGGCCCCATTGGCCAGACCCCGGCAGCAAGCTAACCTACCGGTCAGAGCGTCTGCCCCCTGGTGGTCAGTGCAGGTCATAGCGACTGGTCGACCGGTCGACTGTCTGACCCCTGGTGGTCAGTGCACGTCATAGTGAGCAGTTGAGTGGCCTTAGCATCTCATTAGCATATTACGCTTTGATTGGTTGAACGGACGACCGGACACTTAGTATATTAGGCTTTTATTTATATAGGACTAGTGACCCGGTGTGTGAAACGCGTGGCCCCACCCACCCACGCACGCATCCCGCCCACCCGCTGCCCCACCTTGACACCCTAACCTGTCCACCCAGAGCTCGAGCACG